AGCAGGGAGCCCGATGTGGGGCTCGATCCCAGGACCCTGGGATCATGACCCGAGCCGAAGGCAGACGCCCAACGACTGAGCCACCCAGGCGCCCCTCTAAGTTATAGTTTTATAATTAATTAAACACACCCTTCCATACTTAGAGCAACTGGTTGTCCAAATCATTTCTGATAAGACAATTAAGTCAAAAAGATTTTGAAAGAAGGTAAAGTATCTAACAAAGTCTACTGAATAACCAGGACAGAACATAGATGAGAGTGTTATAGGAGTTACAAATGTAGAAATAAGTTAGGGTATTAGTAAAAACTATCATAGAGCTTTAGAACAGAAAGGAGCCTTAGAGCCAGGGAAGTATTCACAGAAGAATTAGGACCCCAAAGTAGAAAATGAATAAATATACACAAGTCATGTGAAGGATACATATGGAAAGCTGGATTGGTATCTTAGAAGAGTCAAACACTCAACTTATCTTATGTTGAAAGGTATGTTGAGAAGTGGAATGTATAGAGTCAGAATAACTTGATTGACAGGCAAAGCAATTTAAACTTAATGCTCTAGGAATTAGAAAGAAGTTTTTGAACAAAGGAATAAAGTATGAAAATAAGTCACATTTAAGAAAGATATATTTGGCATATGTCTGCTCAAATTTAAAAATGGAGCTTAAAAAAATAAAAGGATTTCAAATTGAAATCATCTCTCCCTCTCCTATGGGCTTCATTAGGGTGAGAACAATTTCTTAATTTTCTTAATGTTCATATTTACTGTTCATTGAACACTTACTATATGCCAGACACATGATAAGACTTTCAAATGCAAGACCTTATATAATCTATAGGAAATAGCACAATTCTGTGATGTGGGGACTATTGTTACCTTCATTTTATAGATGAATGGAGGAAACTGGTTCAGAGAGGTGAATTGAGATGTCCAAAGTCAGATAGCTCATAAATTTAGGAGCAAAAATTTGAACCCTGATTTGTTTGACCCAAATCTAGTTAGTTCAGTACTTGGCACATAGTTGATGTGCAATAAATACCTGTTGAAAAAAATGGGTGAATGAATATATCAGTAAATCTTTCCTCTTCTGCAGATAAAACTACAGATTAGCTTTAATGTTTTTCATGATTTTGATAAGCTCAAGTCAATATTAAGAGTAAAGAAGATGTTTGAGCCATAAAAGAGAAGAATTTACATAGGCAAATCTCTTGACTCTAGAAATTCTGATTAGGAAGAGAACTGGATTTGCTTAGAAATTATATATACACACACACGCATATGTATGTACGTATATGTGTGTGTATACACTATACATACCTACCCATCAACAAAAGAGTTTGGAGCACCTTTGACACACACATACACATATGAGCATGCAGACCCACACAACCATATATATTTTTAATCCCATGCTTTCTTTTGTTTTCTTAATCCTCCTGAGAGGGTGTAAATAATAGAATGTCAGAGCTAGAAGGGATCTTAGCTATTACCTAATCAGATCTTCTCATGTAAATGTAGAAATTGAGGCACTAGAGGGAAAGTAAGTTACAAAGGTCACACAAGGAGTTAGAGTAAGATTAAGAATCTTAGTTTCGTGACTCACACAGGTTTGTTTTACTCAGAACTGTCACCATTTACCATCTCATTTTTATAGATGGGGTAAGCAAGGCATCCTAAGAATGTTGATGATCAAGCTCTTGCTACTTGTCCATTGAAGCAGGACTTGAAATCAGATCTCTTTTATTTTAAATATGAGACTTGTTTTCATGCAAGTGCTTCTGTTTGGATGCCCAAAAGGAAGACCCATTTCTACTTAATTAGTGGACTGAGGATAATTTACAGAAAACTTTGTCCTTCATTTTAAGAGAAAATGTCCAAAGCTGCTTTATTTTCAGAAGACTGGCAGTCCTAAGGAGGCTGCATGAAGGCAGGGATTCTGTCTGCCTTATTGAATCCACAATACCTAGTACAACAGAAGGCACAAAAAATTTTTTGTTGATTATATGGCATACTAAAGGCAGAAAGGGAAAGTAAGTTGGGTAATGGTTTCCCAATGGATGATGGATGGACAATCATTATTCGTGCTGAAAAAGTGGGAATGAATGCGGGTAAGAGTGGGAGAAACCCTTAAACAAAGGAGAAGCTCTATCTGATAGAAGCTGCAAGGGCTGAGTGGTTTGGTAGGACTGTGATCGGCAGAGATATTTAAATGAGGCCTCCTTAAAATTGTTACTTTCCACCCCACCCCCATTCCCCTTTAAATTTTGTTTCAGTCATTACCCAAGGACCGGATACAGAGATTCCTATGGGGAGTTCTAATGGGTCGATTCAATTTCAACTGGATGACGCCACTTAGCTAAGCATTAAGAGCTACAGCTCCGGGAAAGCAAACGACACAGAGAAAGGGAGAGAAAGAAATTATAACAAGGAGCAATAAATCCCTTTCCTCCCATCCTCCCCTATAATCCATTCACAAGACCTTCAGAAATCATGTACATTCACAAAACAGCCAGCTAGCTGAGCTGAACACACTGCAATTTCACTCCCCTCCCCCCGTCTCTGCAGATTATATACCAACACACCCTGAGCTATATAAATAATCACACACTAGCGGTATCTATTGCTCTGTTGAGATACCCTGTGTCTACAACTGCAGTTTCTGCTGCTTCGGTTCATCCGTCAGATTGGAGGAGACAGAGGCGGAGGCGGAGGCGGAGGCAAAAGAGAAAGAGGGGAAGGAGGTAAAGAAGGAAGAAGGGGAGGAGGGAAGGGGGAGGGAAGAGGAGGGGAAGGAAAACGCTGAAGGAGGAGGGGGAAAAGAAAGAGGAGGAGGAGGAGAAGGGGAGGAGAAAGAGGCGGAGGAGGAGGGGGAGGAGAAATAGAAGAAGGAGGAGGAGAAAGAAGAGGAGGAGGAGGAGAAAGAGGAGGAGGAGATGAACAACTTACCCTGCTGAGCTTTCTTTGGGGAATACGTGCATCAAGATTTAGATCTGCATGTAAAATCTATACAAAGTATCTGCCACTACAGGTCTGACTCTCCTCCCCACCCCACCCCCCGCACCACCGTTTTTTTTTTTTTTTTCTTTCCGTTTTCTCTGCTGTGTCAGAAAGACCGACACAGAACTATCTCTGTTTCTGGCTCCACTGCCAGTGAAGGAGTTTTCATTCAGACTTTCCGAAGAGAGGTGGAGAAACCTAAAGACTCAGGAGAAGAAGAGGTCTTTTGAGCCAAATGGGGCATTAGTTCTTCTGCTTTCCTCAGCATGGATAAACCTTTTCCTCAAGGTAAGCCATAGAGATTAGCTCTTAAAGACCCTAGAATTCTTTCTATGCAATGCATAGATTGCCATTCATTCCGGCCATCGTGTGTGTGTGTGTGTGTGTGTGTGTGTGTGTGCGCGCGCGCGCGTGTGTGTGCGCGCGCGCGTGCGCGTGTGTGTGCACGCGTACAAGAGCAAACGCATGGGTAAAATAAAATGAAAACCATTTAAATTTGATTTAAATGAATCAGCTTTTGCAGAAAACTATCCGTATTGGAAATTTATAAATCAAAATGGAACTTCAAAATAACCCTTTTGTAGCCAAATGTCAATTTAATTTTTAGCTTGTTGACCTTTAAACGCATTTTGGTTCTTGCCTAAGCCCCTTATAGCGCAGCCTAACCACCCAAGCTGAGGACGTAGGGAGAGCCCGTGCTGAGGCCAGTCTGGCTGCCCAGCGGGCATCCTGTCAGCGTGGGGCTAGTCTGCTATTGGCTCACAAGTCTGGGCTGTGCATCGTTCAGATTTCATCACATCACCTTGCCCTGGGTAGAAATGGCGCAAGCTGACACGGCATAACCCCCTACTTACATTGAGTCAGAGCAGTGATTTAGAAATCTCTGGATCCATGCCTGGGTGTGTGTGCACATGTCTCTGTGTGGCATACGGAAATTTTGTCAAAAGTGAGAACCTGTGAGCATGTCCAGTTAGCCAATAGGCATTTGATAGGACCTAGTACAGTGGTTTACACTCCCTTCCATTCCTCTAGCTAATTATAATTAGCATTCACCTCTGCATGTTGCAAACCAAGTTGGATGAACAGAAAACAGACCTTGAACTCTTAAACAGAAAATCTATTTTGAAATGCAAACTATTGTTTCTTTTCTGGGTACATTAAAACCTCATTGTAACATAATGTGCTATTACATGAATTTGGATATACCAGGTGTTAAATCATGTTCCCAACAAGTCAGCTGCATACATACATACCAATAAGGCACAGGCTAGCATTTTATCCACAAGGAAGTATTAGTCTTCTTCCCTTTACCTCTAAATAAACATGTACTAAGACCTTATTCTATGCATTTTTGTTTCTTTGTGTTCTGTTTTTAGGTCCTTCTAGCTGTGAAACAATCTAGATAGTGATCTGAGTGCCTTGGATTTGGAAGGTTTTTATTCAGAGTTGAGGAGTTGGGTAGTGAGGAATTAAAAAACCTGAAGGAAGGAGACTAATTCTTCGTGAAAGACTTTTTGAGACAGAGACATGCAACCAACAAACCCAGCATAAAAAAACTTAGAGCTTCAGAACAAGAAAGGGCTTTAAAAGCCCTCCTTTAGTGCCCCTCATTTTGTAGATAAACTGAGGCTTGGGATAGAAGTCATTTGCCCACAGTCACACAATAAAGTAGTTAACACTAGAACTTAAAATTCTTGTATCTTGTAAAAGGATATGGTGTTTAAAGAAAGATTCCTGCTTCTTAAGTGAACAACTAGCATTTTCTTCAGGATTAGAAGTGTGTGAATTCATTTGATATTACAACTTTTCCCTGTAGTGCTCATCACTAAAACACCTATATCTTTAAAAATGCAAGGTCCTAAAGCTGCTAGACTCTCTAGTTTGAAATAAACTGCTATGAGTCTTAATGAAACTATTAAAGTAATGAATACGGCTAGGGTAGCAAAGTGACAAGTTAAGAGTTAAATGTGGTGAGAACCTGGCAGCTCCAGCAAGATGTATGTGGTAGGAGGGAGGCCCAGTCAGTGGCTGAGAGGTTAGTAATGTAAACTATATACAACTTGGTATTTGTAAGGGGGGAGTGCTTTGATAGAGATGCAAATGCTTTTGCACAGAGAGGGATTTTTGGAGAGCAGACTTTGGAACAGTAGAACTAAGAAAACATATAAAGCCATAGCAGAAATTCCCCCTATGTTTGCTTTCAGTTATTCTGAGAAGGAGTGTATATAACAGCAGAGCACAGAAAAAAGTAACACACCCCAGAGCTGTTACACAGTAAGGTACAAAACAGCATTGAACCCATGAGAGTGGGAGAAAACAGGAGCCAAGCTCTCCTTCTCTCCCCTCCCTTCTTTGAAATTGAGGTTGAGTCATATTGTATCAGAAAGGATTTACCAGAGAAATCAGAACTGTCTAAGGGTGTTAGCATAGTAGGGCTTTAGATAGGGAAGTTTTCAACTTTAGTCTCAACATGGCAGATTTTAGGTTCCAGGGAGTAAATACATTTTCCTTTCATTAACGAACAACATTTCTTGAATAGATTTAGCTCTCTAGTCCCTAAGTTGGCATAAGAAAAGAAATTTCTGTTTAGGTTGAACAGAAAATTTCAGGGCTACAGAAAAACTGTTGAGAAAGCTAGGAGCACCTGGCCAGAGGAACTGAGATGGGAGTGGGTTTACAATGCATCATTCATTACTGCAGAGGCACTACGTGACAGAAATCACTAGATCCCACCAATGTGCAGCCAAGACTTGTAATCACCTTGGCTCCTATTTAATAATATGTGATATGCATATTCTCTCTCTCATTTAATAGAATATGGAACTGACCAACAGCACAGTTTCTTAACTGTTTTTGTTCACAATGAATGGCCCTTTAATGAGTGGATTTCTGAATCATAAACATACATGCAGTAGTAGTTTTTCATCTCATCTATGTGCTGTAGCAGCTCTTGCCTTTTTGCTTCTCAATATTTCCCCTCTTACCTTTCCGTACAGTATCTACTTCAGTTCATCCTGTTAGCCAGATCAGATCGGCAAACATTTTATTCTCATTCAATACTGTTTTATCCTTCTCTACACTCTGATTTTGCCCAGGTCCTCCTTCCCACTGTATTGCAGATTTTCCACAGTCCATTCTAATAAAAGATTTTGCAGGTCAGGAGTTCATCCTGTTAAGCCCCTTGTAAACAAGACAGTAGTACCTCATCATCCCAGACCAATGCCCAAAGCTTCCTTTAATTATACAACCCAGCAGCTCAACTTTTCAGTCTCACAGCAATCTAATCAATATCCAGATACACCTTCTCAACTTAAGCACCATATACCCTTCTGCTGCCAAGACAGGATCCCCTTTGAACATGGTTCTGAGTCATTTCTATTATGACCTAGATTCCTCCAAGCTTAGCTTTTCAACCTTCTGGGCATGTCCCTGAGATACCTAGTGATATCTTTGGAATCCCATAGGATTATCTTTTGTAACTTTGAGACCTTGTATGCCTTCCTTTGAGTTATTGATTCTTGGAATTTCCAATATGTTTTGAATCTAATTTCCTCTGGGAAATCAATTAGTCTAAAATGCATCCAGTGTGTTTGTTACTGTTCTTATAGTATAAAGGACACAAGGGGCCCCATGCATTCTTTATCTGATCAATGGGGAATAAATCCATTTCTTATAAATTTGTCAAAAGACTCTTCCTGATGCAAAGTTTCTATATGCACATACCCTGCAAGTCAGCTGAACAATGTGTCTTTGTTTATTTTTTTTAAGATTTTATTTATTTATTTATTTATTTATTTATTTATTTATTTGTCAGAGAGAGAGAGAGATTGAGCACAAGCAGGGGGAGCGGCAGGCAGAGGAAGAAGCAGGCTCCCCGCTGAGCAAGGAGCCCCATGTGGGGCTCTCTGGGATCTTGACCTGAGCCAAAGGCAGACCTTTAACCGGCTGAGCCACCCAGATGTCCCGTGTTTTTGTTTATTTAGGTGTTCGAATGAAAACTACTTTTTCCTTTCCAGTGCTGAGATTGTGAATCTTAGCAAAGTACAGTAAAGGTAGATGTGGGAGGCTTCAGGGGCCTGAGTCCAAGTAAATAAAAGAGACATAAATTTTGCTTTTGAATGCCGAAATGAAAAAGGGCATGTTCCTTAGTTCACCCTCAAGGATTGGAGATATAGAAGGTGTAGATGAAGAGAAATTTTTGTCAAATTGTGTAGTTATAGAATTATAGAACATAATGGGGTAGGGTCCTTCAAAATCACCTAGTTTACCCCTATAATTATATAGATAGTGAAATTGAGGCCCACACAAACAAGTGATTTGACAAAAGTTTCATAGATATTCGAGCCTTAGAATGTCCATAGTGTTTATTTGCATTCTCTTGTGTTGCATTAAATAACACCAAAACAACCAGCTAAAAAGTGAAATTATAGTCAGACTGGTTCTTTTCTGTGATGTGCCAGAAAAGTTATTTTTAACCAAATTAAATCTTCTTTTCAAAAAGCGAACAGATGTAAATTCAACTAAACAGGTTTGCATGGGGATATAGCCTCAAAAGGCAATGAGTCTGGTCATATTATTAGCCACTGAGTCCTTTATGAACGGCATCCTTATTTTTCCTGTTATTGAGCTTTGGGCGCATTTCAGTGTCGTGTTTGCTTGCTTATGGAAACCTAATCAAGCACTATCCTCTTTCACTTGTTCATTTCTATTACTCATTCAAGCTTTGCATTCCATACAGTAGTGTGAGTAATCGATCTATTTTGAGGAGGCCTGAAATATGATGGATTTCAAATACATACTTTATTCGTGCTAGTGTTTCCTAGGTCCTAATGCCTCCAGAATGACTCTTGGCTTTGTGCTTAGGTTTTCTTGTGTACACTTTTTTGGCCGTTCAGTCTTCCAGGTGGTGTAATACAGTGATCTACTGTTTGTACAATATTTTCCTCATAGTCACCATTATCAATATTAGGCTCCATCAGATCCTTCAGGGAATGACCACCCAGCTCTTCCTGATTGTGGTATGACGGAGACATAAGCATATGCTTTCTAGATATTCAACTTGGTTTAAATAGGTACAGTTACAGGTGGTATTTCAAAAAATTCAGGGATCATCTTATATGGTCCCCCCATCCCCAGTGTTACTCACACATATATAAACATTTGATTCTGGAGCCACACTACCACTTAGAAAGAATTATCTCCTCACTAAGTTAAAGTAGACCAAAGGTGAGGAGAACTGCAAGATGATTAGTCTCGACTTCCATCCGCTTCGGGGAAGTTTTTTTCCTATTATTCTACAGAGAGCCTGATTTTTGCTCTCTGTGTCTCTGCCATATCACTGTCATTATCGCATCTTGCCTGCCTGTATTCATTGAATCAAGCAATTCCTTGCTCGTGTGTTTATTATGCTTATCAGGAAGTTTACTGAAAGGAGAATATTTATATACCATCAATCAAATATATATATATATATATATGTACATGTGTATATATGTCTCACACACATACACATGCAACTTCTCATGGAAGACCTTTGAGGCTTTTTCTCTTACATTAGCATCACTTCAGGCTGTAGCCTTTGCATTTGAAATTAGCTTCCATTTTTATTAGAATTTTGATGCTCAAGGCCTAGATTCCTCTGTTAGCAAGCATCTGAATGAGCTAGCTTCTCCTGTGACCCTAGTCATATGATGAAATACAAAAGGAATCAATGATGTGAGCTTTGCTCCCAGAGTGCTTGATAGTCTGGATGGGTTGACCAGATTTGCCTGTGAAGATAGTGGATAAGGTCAATTACAGAATGAAGGTATAACAGGAAGACTACCCTAAAGTAACTGCAGGTAGTGGTAGAGATAGGGCTGGAGCCTTGTTGGTTCCCTGCAAAGTAGTCATGTGTGTGTCTTCTCATGTATTGTTTCTATTTCTTCTCTCCTAGGATTTTCTGATGTGCCCTAAGGTCCATGTAACTACAAGGGCTATTTATCACCACAAGTGCCACCCTGACCCCAAACCACTCAGAACTCAAGAATCGAAGCAAAATGGACGCCGCAGTGACAGACGATTTCCAACAAATTCTCCCTATTGAACAACTGCGCTCTACTCATGCTAGCAATGATTATGTGGAACGGCCTCCAGTCCCCTGTAAACAAGCCCTCTCCAGCCCCTCCCTTATAGTGCAAACCCACAAATCTGATTGGTCGCTGGCTACCATGCCTACTGCTCTTCCCCGCAGTCTCAGCCAGTGCCATCAATTGCAGCCCTTGCCTCAGCATCTGAGCCAATCTAGCATCGCCAGCTCAATGTCCCATAGCACCACTGCCTCTGATCAAAGGCTCTTGGCCAGCATTACGCCCTCACCTTCAGGCCAGTCCATCATCCGAACGCAGCCTGGAGCAGGGGCCCACCCAAAGGCTGATGGTGCTCTGAAGGGAGAAGCTGAGCAATCTGCTGTGCACCCCAGTGAGCACCTCTTCATTTGCGAGGAGTGTGGGCGCTGCAAATGTGTCCTCTGCACAGCAGCTCGTCCTCTCCCCTCCTGCTGGCTGTGCAACCAGCGGTGCCTTTGCTCTGCTGAGAGCCTCCTCGATTATGGCACTTGTCTCTGCTGTGTTAAGGGTCTCTTCTACCACTGCTCCACTGATGATGAAGACAACTGCGCTGATGAGCCCTGCTCCTGTGGGCCTAGCTCTTGCTTTGTCCGCTGGGCAGCCATGAGTCTCATCTCCCTCTTCCTCCCTTGCCTCTGCTGCTACCTGCCTACCCGTGGATGCCTCCATCTGTGCCAGCAGGGCTATGATAGCCTCAGGCGACCAGGCTGCCGCTGTAAGAGGCACACCAACACTGTGTGCAGAAAAATCTCTTCTGGTAGTGCAGCATTCCCCAAGGCCCAGGAAAAGTCCGTATGACCTTCCCACCAAATGGATCCAGAGCTTTCTCCTTCTAACTCCCATTAGTAAAGGGTAGGCCTCATCTTTGAAGACGGGGAGAAGGAGGAAAGCAGCCAAAGTTAAGGCCTCACCAGTTTTGCTCCTGCAGTGTCAGGGAAATGGCCAAGTCCATCCTGGTGCAGGATGCCTTGTTCTTTCTCACAGTATCTATCCCACTCCTCTTCCACCTTTGTACACCTTGCCATTTTAGCCCTGGGGCTGTCATGGCAAATTCAGGTGATATATAGGCATGAGATTTGGACACTGAGGACTGACAGAGCCAGCAACGTGGAGGTTTAGGGGCTTCGCAGCAGAATGCCTCTTGATGCAGGCTCTGAGCGTCACTCTACTTTCCACAGTGCCTTTGGAAACTTTCTTCTAAGATGGTTTTCACAGGTCCACGTGGAACAGTGTTAAATGTTCCAGGGAATCTGACCCCTTCTCCCTCTTTACTGCCCTTCTCTTCTTTAGTCTTTTTCTCCCTCTCTCCTCTTCTTCTTTGTTCCTTTCCCCTTCATTCCCACCCTATTTTTATTTTTCCTCTCTTTTCTTTCTCTCTCCCTTCCTTCCACTCCTTTCCTCTCTCTCTTTCCGACTAACCCATTCTCTGCTCATATCTCTATCTTGTTTGATCTGTCTTTGTCTCTCTCTGCCTGTCCTTCTTTCTCTACTCTGTCCAGAAGTGCTGTTTTTCCATAGGTGTTTCCTTTGACGCCAAACTTTGCTATGCTACACTACTTACTAAATTTTATTAAGGGAAACGGATTACTGTAATGAACTGATCACTAGCAATAGTCTATATCCTGACGTGGTGTGTGCACTCATAACCACACTCACCTGTTTGTGAGCATATGAGGCAAAAAGTATCTTACATTTCCAGGTTTCACTAGTTGGAGTTTTACTCCCTTTCCCAATCATCAACTTATAGTACTGACAGATTCCACTAGCATGCGGAGTAGGATAGTAAATCAGGATGCTCATAACTTTGTATGTCTGACCCAAGTGCCAAAGGCAGACGTGCTTTATAGCTAAATGAACAAAACAAGGGATACTACAGAGGTCTGTTCTCTCTTAGAAGCTAACTGCCCTGAGACTGCATGGCTCAGGCCTTAATTATGGACATAAAAAGTCATAAAACTTTAGAGCTGGAAGGAATCTTACTTGTTCATCTAGTTCAATGCCCTTATTTTGCAGCTGGGAAAACTGAGGCCTGGAGATAGGAAGGGATTTTCCCAAGGCCACACACTGAGTTCATAGCAGGGTTGGGACTGGAATATAAGCCTTCTGACTCCTAGTTCAGTATTCTCTAGCCTACATCACATCAGGTCATGGGACTTTGCTCTTAGGACTCTATTAACAGTGACAGAAAGCCATTGCCATTCAACTTGTCTGGAACCATGCCAAGTTAGTGTGGTGGTCTTTATGCAGTGCACGGTGGGTAGCTACTTAACTATCAGGTGTTGAGGCTGCCACCGGTGGACATCACCTTTGGCTCTGTCACTTGTAGAAGCTCAAGTGTGGGAAACAAAGCAAAACAAAACAAAAACAAGGAACCCCTAACCAAGCTGTATCTTCGCCTTCTCTTTGCTACACATGTTGTGCTCACTCCTGGCTTTGTCTGCAATGGCAATTGCCTGAGAACCGAAATTTCAGCAACAGTGGAAACCTGAGATGAAAGACCTATGAAGCAGAGAACTGACTGTGTTGTGAATCCACTTCAATGGGAAAAGGCTGCAGTGGGGATGGCAGGCTCCTAAAGACAGCTGTTAAAAGACACAAGAGTTAGATCCAGTTTCCCTCTGTAAGCGGATCCAAAATTCACTAAGGAATTCAGAGATTGAGGGCACTTGCTTGAAATCAAGGTGCTCCAACTTAGTTTAAGACTTCCAGACTCTAACTTTATATATCATCTCTTTTAAAGCGTGCATGGATGTGTATTGCAGAGTGGAGAGGTGGGGAGAAACGTAGAGTCATACACAGGGGGAAGAAGAAGGGAACATCCACATCCCTTTGTTGGATATATGCTATAGAAAGATGTGCCACTTACTTTTTGTTGGTTCTGAATCTTCCTGAAGTGTACGGACATTTGGGCTGCACACAGGCCCATGCTTTCACTTTCGCCTCCTCTTCTAGAATCGCTTTGCTCTATTTTTGTATATACAAATATGTTATGATGATTACTAATAATGTTAATGATCTTGCTGCAAATGGTGCCATATATAAGGTTTGGCTTCTTGGAACATTATAAACCCAAACCAATACCTGTAACCTCTTAAGTTGCTTTCAGATCCTTCCATTTTAAGTAACTTCTTCAAATCTTACGAGTCTGCCTGATTGAACTTTGACTTATCTATTCCTAAAAGCTGTGCCCAGTTCTCTGGGTCCGGCTGGATGGTGATGAGTAGCAACACACACTTCTCCCCGCTTATGCCTGAAATTTGCTTAGAGCTGAGATATATAAGGATTCTATGACACTAGTGCATTGTTCCTGGAGCTAAAGTTATTCTATGGATGTTTGCTTATTAGTTTCAGGGCCCCAAACAACACAAGTCCCTCTTCCTCGATAGCTCCTTGATATCCCAATCCTGCAGTCCTTACTCAGGCAAATTGTGCACTGCCAGAGGGGCCCTGGGCTCTGCCATACACCCAGAAGCGCTCTTCTCAGTGTATTTCTAAATGGCCTTACACTTGGTAGAAGAAACTGAAGGGTTACTCAAATGCAATTGCAATCTGCAATCTGCTGCTGAGTCAGGGCTTTCACTTGTGTCCAAGTTGGCCTGATACGGGCTGCATCTGGTTTACGTAGAGATGGGTCCTGTTGGGGTATGTGTACAGATGTGTGAGTGTGCATATGTACCCTTCTGTGAAATTTTATATATATATATATATATATATACATATATATATACACACACATATATGTATACATATATATACATATACATATATGTATATATGTGTGTGTGTATATATATGTGTGTGTGTGTGTGTAAATATATATATTCACACATCTCTATATATTTTAATGTATTGCACATGTATATTTAAAATATATATGAAAGAACTCTAAATCCTGCAGAAAGCCTCTTTTCATTATTTTTCTACCTTGTGTCATGTACTGTATAAACAGGAATATTTAGAGGGTGTTTCCTGCTTCGCATTTTTTTGCAGTTAAGTCATCTGTTACCCCCTACTTCTACTACTTTCCATATATTGGTTCCCTGATACATTTCACATGGCTTCGTCAAGAGTTTTCCTTTGATTCCAGCCCATCTTCCCTCATCACGATGGCTATAATAAATATAGTGAACATGTATATAGTGCTTACTATGTGCTAAGCACTATTTTAAGCACATTGCCTATATTAGCTCATTTCATTCTCACGTTAACTTTAAGATGTAGGTACAGTTACAATTGCCATTTTTCATATGAGAAAACTGAAGCACAGAGAGGTTAATTGACTTGCCAAAAGTAACAAAGCTCGTAAGTGAAGGAGCTAATATTTGAACCTAGGCTGTCTGAGTCCGAAGTCCATGCTCCAGAGGTAGGTATAGAAGTCTGGAATATAATGTAAACCCTTCTGGTATAACAAGCCTCAAACAGTGAATAGTCCTTTGCCTAACTCCAGTTTATCTGTAGCCTAGGAGTAGAAACAAATGTGCTCCTATGTTAGGAGTGAAGCAATAGTTACAGACATCATATCTTAGCTGTCTTGGCTCCCAAGATGGTGGCATTACAAACTTCTCCACTACTCCCTCTGAAAACGTGTTTGCAGCCAGTTGCCACTTCTCAGACAGTTTACAGTGCAGAACTAGTAGAGAAATATTTTCACTGTGCAGGAGAAGGTAAGAGTTAAGAGTGTAACTTTTTCTTTATAGGCCCAGGAAAACTAATTTGATTTGTTTCTGCAGAAAGTAGAACTAAAACTATTTTTGGAATTTGAGATCAGTTGGAACTGTTAACATTTAAGTTCATTGATTATACTGAGTGTATTCTTCTGATTCAAATGGAAGCAATCCACTGATGACCATTGTTCAGTATAATTTCTTACCTTTTCCCATCTCCTCCTTCATACTGGCAATTCTTTATATCCTGATACTATTTCAGAGCCAGAAAGAATCTCTTAAAGAGCATCTATTCCAACATCAACATTGTATAGTTGGGAGAAAAAGATGCACGGAGAGGGAATATGACCTGTCCAAAGTCACATAGTTCTGCATTTGGGTGGAATTATGACTTATTTCCAGATATCTGGGTTTCTTAGAAACTAGAACTTGAAGCAAAAGCTTATGTGCAATCCCAAGGAAGTAAGAGTAAGGAAAAAGAGTAGTGAAGTAGGGAAGGAAGGAGAGGAAACATAAAAGAATGTATCATTGTGTTGGCTACAATCTGTTTCATGACAAGCTAATTTCTCAATTTCTTTTTTTTTTTATTCTTATGTTAATCCCCATATATTACATCATTAGTTCTAGATGAATTTCTCAATTTCTTATGACAGGCCATATTGCATCTCCATATAGGTCATCTGGGGGAAGAATGGGGAAGAATTTATCTCCTGCCTACTATCTCATTAGTCAAATACCTTCCCTGTGGAATATTAACTCCCCTACACTTCTGGGCAGCACATGTGTGGATGCCCAAGCATGTACCTTGGCATCTCACACCTCAGAAGCAAGGGCTAGCATAGTGGCTCCGCTACACACAAGGCAAGTGTGTGGCTATAGGGAGACGTACGAACTTGAGAACCTATGTATTCTTTGACTTGCTTTGAAGGGCTTCCTTCTGCATGGAAATGAAGTCCCTGTTTCAACTGGAGGAGTAGCAAAGTCTCAAAATATCCTTCTTCTTACCATAAAAAGAAACTTTATTTTACTGAACTCTTCAAAAAGCATGTCTAATCCAGTGCATGTACATGAATGCCCTTATAATCATTTAGGCTTCATCAGCATAATAGCAGGAAAACTGGTCAAGTTAATAAATTCAGGAAAAAATGGCTAAGCAAGTTATTTTGCAACATAAAAATGAAACATTCTGTTGGTCAACTGAATCTTTCTCTATTTCAGCCCCTAATTACGATGATATCACATAGACACATTCTAAGTGCTATACTATCATTTATTCTCATAAACAATAGTTCCCTGTGCCCTATAGACCATTCTCACATGAAGTCAAAGCATCTAGTCAATAAAAACATCCCATTGGTATGGTTTCATATCTATGGGCAATGTCATAAAAGCATTGAATGCATTTCACTGATTGAATTCTTGCCTTTTTCATGTAAAAAAAGATGACCATAGGAAAATTCTGAAAAATTTTCCAGGTAAATAATGAAATCATGCTATCACTACAAACATACAGCAAAACTCTCCTTTAATGACATCTACTTTACTGAGCCCAGTGGTTATTTCTCAGTTCTCATGTACCTGAGTTACTAGCACCAATTGACATAGTTGTTCATTCTGTCCTCCTAAAAACACTTTTATCACTTGGCTTCCAGGATACCACAT